AAGAAGCTATTAGAAACAAGTGCCTTACTAGTAGTAACAAGAAGCTACTAGTAACAAGTGACTTACTAGTAGTAACAACAAGCTAATAGAAACAAATGCCTTACTAGTATTAACAGGAAGCTACTAGTAACAAGCGCCATATTAGTAGTAACAAGAAGCTATTAGAAACAAGTGCCTGACTAGTAGTAACAAAAAGCTATGAGAAACAAGTGCCTTACTAGTAGTAACAAGAAGCTATGAGAAACAAGTGCCTTACTAGTAGTATCAAGAAACCACTAGCAACAAGTGCCTTACCAGTAGTAACAAGAAGCTAGTAGAAACAAGTGCCTTACTAGTAGTAACAAGAAGCTACTAGTAACAAGTGCCTTACTACTAGTAGTAACAAGAAGCTGTTTCAAACAAGTGCCCTACTAGTGGTAACAAGAAGCTAGTAGTAACAAGAAGCTATTAGAAACAAGTGCCCTACTAGTAGTAACAAGAAGCTATTTCAAACAAGTGCCCTACTAGTAGTAACAAGAAGCTACTAGAAACAAGTGCCTTACTAGTAGTAACAAGAAGCTATTAGAAACAAGTGCCCTACTAGTAGTAACAAGAAGCCATTAGAAACAAGTGCCCTACTAGTAGTAACAAGAAGCCATTAGAAACACGTGCCTTACTAGTAGTAGCAAGAAGCTATTAGAAACAGGTGCCCTACTAGTAGTAACAAGAAGCTATTAGAAATAAGTGCCTTACTAGTAGTAATAAGAAGCTATTAGAAACAAGTACCCTACTAGTAGTAACAAGAAGCTATTAGAAACAAGTGCCCTACTAGTAGCAACAAGAAGCTATTAGAAACAAGTGCCCTACTAGTAGTAACAAGAAACTATTAGTAACAAGTGCCCTACTAGTAATAACAAGAAGCTATCAGAAACAAGTGCCTTACTAGTAGTATGAAGAAGCTATTAGTAACAAGTGCCTTACTAGTAGTAACAAGAAGCTATTAGTAACAAGTGCCCTACTAGTAGTAACAAGCAGCTATTAGAAACAAGTGCCTTAACAAGAAGCTATTAGAAACACGTGCCCTACTAGTAGTAACAAGAAGCTATTAGTAACAAGTGCCCTACTAGTAGTCACAAGAAGCTAATAGAAACAAGTGCCCTACTAGTAGTAACAAGAAGCTATTAGTAACAAGTGCCCTACTAGTAGTAACAAGAAGCTATTAGAAACACGTGCCTTACTAGTAGTAACAAGAAGCTATTAGAAACAAGTGCGTTACTAGTAGTAACAAGAAGCTATTAGAAACAACTGCCTTATTAGTAGCAACAAGAAGCTGTTAGTAACAAGTGCCCTACTAGTAGTAACAAGAAGCTATCAGAAACAAGTGCCTTACTAGTAGTAACAAGAAGCTATTAGAAACAAGTGCCCTACTACTAACAAGAAGCTATTTAGAAACAAGTGCCCTACTAGTAGTAACAAGAAGCTATTA